GATCTTCTTTTACAGAGACACAGGCACAGCTACTGCAGAACACCAATCCGCCGAACAGGAAACCATATGAATGCCGTAAACAGCTGAATAGGAAAAACCATATGAATAGGTTTACACTCCTAGCAGTCGAACTGGAACAGCATACAATAAATCCCCCCAAGAACGAGACAAAGCTCCGTGTTGAGGGTCAAGCAGTGAACAGACAGAGCTGTGGGTTTATTGTTCTTATATACACATTAGTACCACCCACAGGGTTTTGGAACACAACCAATAAACACATACAATACACTCAGACACTCCCACACAAAATCCTCCCCTCTGCCTGTGATTCAATTACCTTACACAATGGGTAATGTAATTATCACAAGCAGAGAAATACAATTTTTCCACATTATTCATAATTGTGATCTCCCCCCGTTTCTTTCTTTCTTTTTTATATATGCCTTGATATCGACTGGATCATCCAAGTTCTGCAAAAAACTGATATATTCCCATTTAGGGTAGGTGGTTAATTTTAACCACTTAATGCTCCACTCTTGAGGTTAATAGCTTTTGGGCTTTTTTCCACTTTTTCTTGTGCTTGCCAAGTCTCTTTGTCTGGTTGATAACTTGGTTCCAACGGGAGTACGAGGCAATGAAAAGTCATCACTTTGGGCAGGTTCATTTGACATTCTGAGTAACGGAAACTGGGAAAGACATGTAATGAGTAGTGATTATTACATCATGGTTATTTTAATTTGTGTGAACTGGCAGCTAACTAGTGCCAAGTAGTGAAATTATATGTCACGATCATCATCGTGTCATATCCGGAATAGTGTTCCCAGTCAGTGACCTTACCTTGGGCTCCACACATCTTTTGTTGTTTCAAGTTTCTCCTTGTATCCTGTTGTCTGAGTCTCTACTCCTGGACTGCTGCACACCTGTTCCTGGTTTCCAGATAAGTGGTTATTACAGTGGCGTACACACAATCCATGACGCCCCGGTGCGAAAATTGATCCGTGGGCCCCCCCGCGCTTACTCTGCGCGGGCCAGGGCCGCAACACATGGCGGCGGGCACGTGGTCGCAGGGCTGCGACCCCTGCGACCACGGTGTGTACACCTGTGCATGCAGATACACATACACTTAAAAGACCACTATAGACACCCAGATCACTTCAGCTCAATGAAGTGGCCTGGGTGCCAAGTCCCTCTAGTTTTAACCCTGCAGCTGAAAACATAGCAGTTTCAGAGAAACTGCTATGTTTCACTGAGGGTTAATCCAGCCTCTAGTGGCTGTCTCACTGGGTGAGAAGACGCTGGACGTACATAGGAAAGCATTGAGTAATGCTTTCCTATGGGCGGTTTGAATGCGCATGTGGAGCTTCGAGGCGGATCGAGGCGGATCGAGGCGGATCGAGGCGGCTGGAACCCCAGCGCCAAGGGAGTCCGGCGCTGGAGACAGGTAAGTGCTGAAGGGGTTTTAAACACACACTCTCACTAACAGACACATACACATTAGCTAACAGACACACACATTTACTGACAGATACATTCTCAGTTACAGACATACATTCACACTCACTTACAAAACATACACTATCATTGACAAACACACACTCACTAACAGACACCAAACAGACACACACAAACTAACACACTCAGTAACACACACACAGTAACACACTCACTGACACGCAAACTAACACACACTCAATAGCAGACACACACTCAATAACACACACGGACACACAACCACACACACACTCTAACAATAACACACACACACATTTTTTTTTATTTAATCCCCCAGCCTCCCTACCTTTGGGAGTGCTGAGGGGATTCCCTGGGGTCCAGTGGTGCTGCTGGGCAGCCGGTCCTGCAGGCGGCGAGGGAGCACTGATGCTCCTGCCCAGCTCCCCTTGTGCGCGACTTACTGATGCCGTTGCCGGAATGACGTCATATTCCGGCTCCGGCATCAGAGCGGTGCGCGTGAGGGAGCTGGGTAGAGAGCGCTCAGGGGAGAATGCTCCTTCATGCACCCGCCAGCCTGCCCGGTTATTATCAACCTATTTAAACACTGCCTTGCTTGTGACTCATTGTCAGATCATTTTGTTCCTGTTGGTGAATCATCGCTGTATGTCTGACTCCTGGTTTGATTCTCTGCCTTACTAGTTGCTGAGCGGCAAAAGAGGCTCTACCTACTAACTTGGGCAATGAGACATTGATGCCACAAATGGCCTCTTAGTGACAATTAGGAAGTGTCTAGGAAGATTGGGTGTGACTGATGAGACCCTGACTATACTATATGCGAGGCGTTACCTAAGCCTCGTGGGACCATTAAATTAAGCCAAGAAAGGTATTATTCTATTGTGCCCTTACTGAATGCATGTAGCCAGTTCCCCTTACTTAATATAAAAGGGGGAACGTTTATTTAATGACATGCAACGTGGTATGTTTGTGAGTTAATACTTTGGAGGAAAAGTAACGAGCTGGGCACATTGATGAGTTTGAATGGGGTAAGTACCTAAATGAATACATATGAAGAAATCATAATTATATCATAACCTCATCCCAACTGTGAAGTATGGTGGTGGGGGTATCATGGTTTGGGGCTGCTTTGCTGCATCAGGTCCTGGACAGATTGCTATCATCGAAGGAAAAATGAATTCCCAAGTTTATCAAGACATTTTGCAGGAGAACTTAAGGCCACCTGTCTACCAGCTGAAGCTCAACAGAAGATGGGTGTTGCTACAGGACAATGACCCAAAGCATAGAAGTAAATCAACAACAGAATGGCTTAAACAGAAGAAAATACGCCTTCTGAAGTGGCCCAGTCAGAGTCCTGACCTCAACCCGATTGAGATGCTGTGGCATGACCTCAAGAAAGCGATTCACACCAGACATCCCAAGAATATTGCTGAACTGAAACAGTTCTGTAAAGAGGAATGGTCAAGAATTACTCCTGACCGTTGTGCACGTCTGATCTGCAACTACAGGAAACGTTTGGTTGAAGTTATTGCTGCCAAAAGAGGTTCAACCAGTTATTAAATCCAAGGGTTCACATACTTTTTCCACCTGCACTGTGAATGTTTACATGGTGTGTTCAATAAAAACATGGCAACATTTCATTCTTTGTGTGTTATTAGTTTAAGCAGACTTTGATTATCTATTGTTGTGACTTAGATGATGATCAGATCACATTTTATGACCAATTTGTGCAGAAAGCCATATCATTCCAAAGGGTTCACATACTTTTTCTTGCAACTGTATATACTGTATATTTACACACAGGTGACAGGATACCACTGCAAATCTGCAAGCCTGAAGGATAAATTGTAAACTTAAAGCATAGAATTTAGCATGGCTAGTTGCCATAATATTATATAGTTAGTAAGAGATCCTCTATTTAAAATATATAAATAATTGAAAATACAATTAAAAAAAATAGGAAATTGGAAGCAATAACCTTTTGTCTTTTTAGAAATTATTTTATTCAATATAAACATATAAATACTTAAAGGGATTCTCCAGTGCCAGGAAAACACATTTGTTTTCCTGGCACTGCAGATCCTACAGGTCCCCTCTCCCTCCCACCCTACATCCCAAGTTGCTGAAGGGGTTAAAATCCAGTCCAGCGCAGATGTCTCTCGGTGCTGGTCAGACCAATCTCGCCACTGGGCATTGGAGGAGCCTGGTTGCCCGCCTGCTGCCTTTAGACTATGGCCCCATGTTGAAACACTTGATTTTCCCCTACAAAGACACGAAAGCTGGGTCATTCGGTGCTTGCCCTGTTTGAGCGGTGATACCCCAGAAAGCTATGCCATGGAGCCCATTCGTATAATTAAAGACTATGGGAAAAACTTTGGCTCCATGGTAATTGAACTGTATGTATGTGACCTGAGCGCCATTCAGTAATAATGTGCGCTCAGATCTGAGCTATCTGGGGATATGTTGAATGTACCTTTTTTATGCAATGGCTGCACAGTTATATATTTTTATGTATTTTATTGTCTTTTGCTGCCATATGTTCAATGGAGTTTTGCCTCAGTCAATTATCTCCAGGATAGAAGACTCTGTGGAACTGGTTTTGGGCAGAAAAGCCATGCTTCATTTG